TTTTCTTTCATTAATTGTCTTGACACCATTATGGAGTCATAAAAGTACAGAATTGTGTTTTGCCGTCGGTATTTCCACATTCATGCTTCAATTTTCTTTTCAAATGCATGTGTAAACATATGTAACAGGACATACATATATAATATTATGTCGTTTAACATTTGTATGTCTTTATGTAGATATGTACACTCATTACTTCATGTGAAATCCCGTTGACACATTTTTTTTATGTCAAAGAGTCAATCTGTCGAAGAACTGACGCGACGACAAAGCGTCACAACATTGTTTTGTGTAGAAAATCCGAGATGTGCCATACACACTCTTACAAACTTACATCGCATATGGGCAAGTGCAAAGGCAATGTGTGTACAAAAATCGAACGTACTTACTGTGTGACAAATACATTCATCCCGGTTAGTGCCAAACCAAAGATGCAGATTTTTGCGCTTGTAGTACATAAGCGATTGTGGTACTTAAGCGAGAGGTACCAAAAAAATTATTTCTATGTATTTAAAAATTACCGTTTTCTTTAAAAATTAAGAAAAAAAGTGAGATGCAGCAAGACACCGGCAGATAAGAGGATTGGAGAGTGATACTTAACCGGGGTTTACTGTATACATAAATCAGAGGAATATTGAATATTTTCTTAAAAGTTTCTTAATTGTAAATCGACAAAATTTACTATGTTGCACTTTTATTCTAAAATATTTTAATACTCATATTTGAGGGTTGTCACTTTCCCTTCTAGAGGGAATATCAGAAATTTGTTCAATTTATGATTTTTAGCTTTTGCCATCGTCGCGAAAGACGCTTGTAGGCAAACGCATGCTCGGGAGATGTGTGAGGCGTTGCTTTTATGAATGAAACGACTTAGCTTATTGCTTGTGCGCCAGCGTTCATGAATGAAAATGTTGTTGGTGTGTGATTTACTACAAATTTAGGATTTGTCAATTTGGCTGCCATATTGATTTCTGGTGCTGATGATTTGAGACAATTGTGTTTTGTTACAACAATGTTTGTATTTTCTTATTGGCTGACGTACTTACATTTGTACGCTAAATGTATGTAGATTTGTGTATGCATTACTTATTTTGCGCGGTCATATGCATATTTGTACATACATACTTACATATAGAGCAGTGCGCTCACATGTATTTATTGATAATTGATAATATATTATTATATTATATAATATAACATATTGATGTACATACATAAATTATTAATTCTGTAAATATTGAAATTAGAAATTATGAAAACAGTAAAATAACATTTTGCATAATCTTTCACATTTTATCAATGTAGCATTTGTGCAAATATTTAATAATTTATGATTTTCATCATAAAAATCGTTTATATGGCAAAAAATAATCATGCATATGTGAAGTGGCATTTGTATTTCTTATTTTCTCATTCATTTCATTTCATTTTTCTCTTTATATTGGTAGATACGTATTTTGTCAGAGAACGTTGTTAAAAATTCTCATATCTGTTAAATAACAGCTAAACTGTACAGAAAGTGGTGAACTCCTTGATCTCAAATTTTCAGCCAACCAATCGAGCATCATACAAAATTCAATTTGCACCTTCTCATTGTTTTAAGTTCTTTCAATTAATGAATTATTTTAAGAAATATATCAAAATACTTTAATAGTAATAATTTAAAAGTATTTTGATATATTTCTCAAAATAAAGTAAAAATGAATTAACATAAAATAATTTGAAAAATAATAAATAATAGTTCAATAAAAGGGAATATATTTCAAATGGCATATCAATATGCCCAGTTTTGCTCACATATTATATTCTCTTCAATATTCGTCGGTTGGTTATGTTAGAGAGCGTATGTGTA